ATTCTTCTGCATCAAACAAGAAAAGAAAAACTTTATCTTTGGAATGTAAAGTTAACATTATTAAAGACTTCGATACAAAAATGAAAATTTGTGAATTGGCAAAGAAGTTTGATCTACTCGAATTGTCGGTCAGTTATAAAAGGCAAAGAAAAATTCTCGAAGCTGCGAAAAATGCTCAATCTTTAAATTCAAGCATCATTCGTAAACGTCACGGTATTATCGCTGAGATGGAAACAATGTTAAAATTATGGTGTGATAATCAAGTTAATGTGAAAAATTGTATAATAATATAATTTGTTATACGTATGTATTATCTAAGATTTTATTAAACATTTTTTTCTAAATTATTGTTTTCTTTAGTCTCCGGTCCCAATTAAAAATAATTTGTATGTATTTATATACAAAATTATACCCCGACTTACGCGGTTATCGCTCGGTCCCACCTATCGCGTAAGTCCGGGGTATGACTGTATTATAAAATTCATCATCATCCTCAAAATTAAGCTTCTTGCTATTTTATATTAATAATATAAAATTTTAAAAAATCTCACAAGTGTGTGGGCACCTTTTTAAAATTTTTTACTGGGAAAGTTACGCAACTCGTTGATTTTGTTTTTTGTAAAGACATTCTATAAATCTATTCTCAAAAATTTAGATAATTTTATTTTTTAATTAAACTAGTTTTTAAATAAAAATGTATTATAATTAAAAAATTATGCTAAACTTATTTTGGAACAATTATTTCGATTTGTACAGAATTAATAACAAATATAAATTTATTTATATTATTTTCTTTTAACAGAACCGTTCTCTCGAAAGTTTAGGTAATTTTAGGTAAGTTAGGAAAGTTTAGGTAATTTTCATTAAATACTGATATTATATACACTTTCAAATAATTCTTAACAATTATTTTTCCATTTGCTTTTATAACATCAAAAATTGTGATTGGCAAAAATGAAATTAATTTTTATAAAAGCTCTGGATTTAAACCAAAATTTTCGTAGACCTAAGAGAGAAACTGGAGTGTTGTCCTGTTGAAATATCCAGTTATGTCCTCCAATTAATTCAGCATTAGACACTAGATTTATTTTCTAAAGTTATTTGGTAATTATTTGCATACTGACATCCATTTAAAATATTAAACTAATAGCTTCATTAAATTTACATATTCCCCATATCATGCCAAAAACAATTTCGGACACCACAGTGATCCAATTTGTTTTTCATTATTAGAAATGACTGTTTCCATGACATAGGCTATGTTTTTTTTTTTTGTTTTCATACCAATTGTGGGTTCGATCAGGCCAGTGGCACACTCAGAGGGGGGGGGCAAAGGATCCAGGCAACCCCAAAGTAAAGGAAAAAAAACACTAGTAAATTTTCCAAAAATCTTTTCCTAATTAAAATTCATTTTCCTTTTTACTTATATTGCCGCGTGTATTCTATTTCTAAATTATTTGTGAATTAACCGCTTCGACCATCTGATTGTCCCATGACACGTTCTTTTAGCTTGACAAAGTTCAGATGTTAGAAAAGATTTGCAATGTAGTTTTCTTAACTTAGTTTGGATTTACTTCTAATTTATGTGAACTGTGTCTGTCTAATAAGATATTTTGCATCAAGATTCTTTTAAAATTTGTCGGATTGATAAATTTAAAAAATAATCTTAATGCAAAATATACAAGTTGCAAGTCTCAAAATCTTTGTAATCTTGAGGTGACGTAGACTTTAGTCGAAAATTTTCTCCATGCAATTTCCTAAACTCCAAATGCAGTTCATTCTAAAATCTTCGTAATTTTGCAACTGAATGCCTTTTCATTTTAATTGCCACATATTTACAATTCATTCAGTCGTAAATCGAACGTCTTAAGTCATTTATGCTTTACCATTATTGGCGAAAATGCTGACATTTTTTTCATTTCGAAAAACAAAAATATCTTCAGTATATACATTATAAAGATTAAATTTTAAACAACAAAAACTGTCATTTTAACTATACTTATGAGACAGTATTTTATTAACAGGTAAATTATCAAGTGTTATTTAATATCTAAACGATATTTATATAGCAGTTGTATCTTTAATTAGCCAAAATGTAGTTCAATAATAAATTTGGCTTAATTAATAATGTGATTCAAGCTTAGTTTCTTATATGTTTCTATTTAAAATGTTTAGTAGTAAATAATAATTTTTATAATTAGTTTCACATAAGTAAATAACAGCTCCAATATTTAAAATTTGAATTTTGTATGACATTCTCTCTCTCCTTTTGTTAGTGAGAGTAAGTTTTAAAATATTTCATTTTGAAAGTAGATTACATATATCTACATAATACACTTTTGCAATTTTATTTATAAATTTATTTTTAATTTAATAGTAATATAATTAATAATACATAAATATTTTAAGTGATAATTTGGATTATGTTTGACTTTATTTTTCAAAATACCAACTTCTTTCTTTTTTTCTTTGAAAAAAGTAATGTGCAATTTTATTTAATATATTTACAAATCAAATTTCATGAAAAGTTTGAGAATTTGTGGCTAATGAATAACTAATGGTCATGTGACTTGAAAATTCACTTAAAGTTGTAGGAATAAATTTGAAATGTTTCATAAAAATGAAATTGAACTTTAAGCTCTTTCTAGTCTTAGTATCTCTATGTTTTAAATAAAAATACTTGAAGTATCTAGTTGAATTATATAACAATACTTTCTACATTCAAATTAAATAGAGTTAAACTTTTTGTAATTTTTTTCTTCAAATAAAAAAATAGAACTACTATTCTATTAACTAAATTACAAAATGATTTAGAATAAGTTAAATGATTAAATTCATAATTTACAGATTTGGCACTGTAATAAGCATACTGCCATCTAGTGAGAAATTCAATAATTAAAAAAAATTTCTTAAATTTCAAAATTTAAAGGAAAGGAGCACAAACATCTTAAAGTGAAATTCAAAATAAATCTTGCAAAATCAAGAAATTATAATGTGAATTACATCATTAGACTTCAAAAACCATAATTTAGCTACATCTCTAAAAATTTTAGATAATACAGTATAATACACATTCATAATATAATATGTAAAATTACTATTGATATTTTTTCACCATAAAGACTGACACTGCTTGTGAATGTAACAAAAAATTACTGTTTGGATTTTGTGTTATATCTAAAATTTTGTCCATAGAGGATGCTTGATTATCCATAATTTTTATATATTATGTATTTTATGACAGTACATATATTATAATCAAATTGAAGATGAAGATTGTTTTGAAGATTGTCTGAAACCAAAATTTTAGATACAACACTGCCATTACCATATCCTAAGAAAAATAAATATTCAATATTATTGTAGTAAAAAAAATGTGTTATTAACTGAGATGCATAATAATGGAGGCAATTAAATTTAGGAATTTATGTAATTACCAGTAAATGTGTTGCTATCTTAACATGAATTTCTCTCCAGATAAATATGACATATCTACCCATAACTAAATAAATTATCATAATTATTCTAAAATTCATTACACACTCCAGTTATTTCAGTAAATAATTTCATTTCCATGTTTGGCATAATAATGATGGTCATTTGTTTAATTTTATATAGATACAGTAGGATTTTGTTTTATGCAAGAGTGATATACAGATATCCCTCATATAACATGGTAGATATGTTCTGAAAAAGTGCCATATTATGTGAATACAAAACAAAGGACTAATGCAAAACATGGGGTTAGGCTCAAGAAGTTAGCAAAAGTATACTATTCTTTTTTGTTACTAAGAGAAATATGTTTATTAAAGCAATTGATAATTTATTTCCAATCAATAATTAATTAACAATCACAATTAAGTACTGTATTACACATTAATATTAAGTTTAGTTAAATGAGAGTGTTTTCTTTTTACACAGTATCATTGTCATCTCAACTTTTTTGTTGATCTTTATCAGAAATATCAGCAATGTCTTAATTTTTTGCTTTTTATCACAAATTTTTTATGGATGACAAAATAAAAATATGTTATTAATTGAAAATTTGTTCTAGCAGGTTGCATTTGTTCAACTTTTTCCAGAATTTGTGTTTGAATACTGAAATACCACTGTATTTCGTTTGTCATTTTTATGAATGAAGTAATCATTCATAAGCAAATAATACCTACAGTTAAATAAACTTTAGTGAATAGATATTAATCTATAGAAAGAAAACACAGTAACAGTCTTAAAGGATAGAGTCTGAAAGCAATGACAATGACACCTGATTGATAGGAAAGTTAGTGCAGTTTTTTCTTCCTTATCCTATCAGTTTTGATTAAAGTAAACCTGATTAAGAGCACAAAATAATTTTAAAATTTTATTATTCTAATATCCATGGGCAAACTGGACACAATACACATGGCTTACTTAAATTTTAATAAAATATCAAATAACAAAATTTACACTTAAAAATTGCAAAATTTTGCATGGAGGATTTTCAATACTGTATTATAGCAAAACCAGAAGTCATGTTGTACATGGGATATCTCCAATTTTATAACCATGTTAGAGTGAAATAGTGTTGCATGAGGGATACCTGTATGTGGGTTTGTGTGTTTTTGTAAATGGTAAATGATTAGATTAGCTCTTGGATATAAAGAGGTAATTCTGACTATTAATGTACCGGTACATACTGAATTTTTTTTATTATGAAATTTAGTATATATAGTAAAATCATGAGTAAAATGTTTTAAAAATATTTTAACATTTTTCTGTTAATTGTGAATGGTTGCATAAGTGTCTAGTCAATCATCCTGGACACGAAGTGGAATACAAATTTATGCAGTATGTGCTGACAGGAAATCCTACATAAAACAAGACCATAGTGTATATCTTTTACTTATCATTGTATAAATAAAAAATTAATGTTTTCTAATTCTTTCAAATCACACATCAATAATTAAGATGTACTAACTTATATACTAAGTATTTCAAAAAAAGAGAAACTTGGCAGAAAACTTGATTGAAATTTATACTTAATAGATTTTAACATTTTATTTAATTTTGATAACGATTGGTGATTTAACATTTGACAAAACACCACAAAAAAGTTGGCCATATCAAAAAACAGTGAAAAACATAACCATTGGCCATACACTACAGTACATATCACTCAACAGACCATAAAGTCTTTAAATGCCCCTCTTTTTGCAATAAAAACACTATTAAGGGCAATAATAAGATTTTGAGATTGCCACAATGGCAGTTGGGAAGTTTTACATTGCACAATAGTTTTATAAAGAGTAAAGATAACTATTTTTTTTCTTTTTTTTTTGGAAGGGGCTTCTATACATCATATAACAGAGACCATGGAAAGCATGTCTTGTGATTGGAATTCATTTACTTTAAATAGAATTCCTTTCTTTCTACCTATAACTTTATATACAGTCTTCAAATATCTTCCTGAAACTTTCAGAAAGTACTTTTCAATAACATGAAGACAAATATATCTTTCCAGTGAATCTTTGTTCTATTTTCAAAGTTTGTTCAACCATTGTTTGAATGAAAACACTTTTAACATAAATATGAAACATTCTTGTAGTGATTTATAAAAATAGTCTGCTTGAATAAGACTAAGGAAAGTAATCCATAATTAACTAATATTTCTCATGGATCCATCCTTTCCATTACGACGCTGCCGTAACTGAAACTTTGCTGTTTTGATGTTAAGTTGTGCACTTTGTGCAGCTGTATCAGATTCAAATACCGCAAGAACCTTGTACTTAGAATTGATTGTGAGATCAGCACCTGGCGATGTGATACCACCATCTATACTGACAAACTGGATCTTGGCCCCATGATTAATCACTTGCTCTAAATACCTTTCAATTTCACTTCTCTTCATTCCTTCTGGGATCCCTTCCACTTCTAAAACATGATTAGCTAACAAAAAGAAAATAATAAGTTAATAATTTTAATATAAAATTCTTATTTAATTGATTTAAAAAAATTATTCTGTATTATTTTTCACACAATTATTTTTAAATTTCAAATGTACAGTTATTTTATTTCAGTTATTTAAACATTATAAAAACATTATGGCATGAAACTTTTTAAAACTTCATTGTAACTATTTTTCATTACAAAAATAGTTTTTATAATTAATTTTATTTATCTGTTATATTTTTCTATACATATATATCAATAGAATGTTTATTTATTTTGAACAAAGATGTGCCACAAGATTAATTTGGTTCAGATTTGTATTATTTATATATTTAACAAAATATTTCTGAAAATTTTTTATACTCTAATTTTCACTCTCACACTTATTTATAATCCTAGAACTATGTAGCAAGTGCATTTCAGAGGGTTGTGAATGAGAGATTCCATGATGTTTTCAAAACACTGTACAACTGCTGGATGAAGCATGTTGCTGCAGAAGTTAAATATTCTGAGGGTAATGTCTAAATAATACATAGTCATTAAATATCTTTTCCTCAAACTTTTTGAATAAACTATGTATATATATTGCATAATTATTTAATAATTATTGCATATATTGTGAAGTTATGGCATCAAGTAGGTTATAAGTATTCAATATATACTACTACTACTACTACTACTACTACTACTTTCATATTTTATGCATTATTTTTAGATATTTGTTTAGGAAATTTAAAACCTCAAGATAATTACAGTAATATCATAAAACAATAACAGTAAAGAAAGTTAATAAAGTCATAGAATAAACTTTTTATTAATATGGTAAAAAATCATAAATGCGGCAAATCACATCTACAGTGGTACCTCAGGATACGAAATTAATCCGTTCTGAAACTGAGATCGTATCATGAAAATGTAGTAAAGGTGGATCATCTTTTCCCATACGATTACATGTAAAACCAAATAATTCGTTCCAACGCGAAAAACATACTCAAATTAAAGCCAAGTAATACATTAAAAAAAATAACTGTAGTAAGAAAAACAAATGAAAAATGCGAACTAATGTAACNCATTATTATTGCATTTCACACTAGTTTATTTTCGATTTTTCATTTTATTTGTATTTATTTTTTTCATAGTTTTATCAATGATATAATGTTCTCATCAGAGCATGAATTACTACTTGACTACAATCGTCTGGACACATTAAACTACACAGTAATAGTAACATTATTACAATGCAATATTGATTTGCATTTTAAATAGAGCAAGAAAATTGTACAAATTAAAATACACTTGGTAGTATACAGAGAGGATTTAATAATAGCATTATTGTTGGGTGTATTCTTGCATATAGTTTTATCAATAGAAATATCTTCACGGACCAATACATTATTTAAATATGAAAGCATTAAAACGATCTTGCTCCATAGAAATTCGTAGATTATTTTTAATAAATCTTGAATTGAAATTTTTATCTTTCAACTATTGTAATGTAACATTTATTATCAAAAGGGTATTCATTATTTTTTAATATTCTGATGCACAAAAATTATCGGGGAGATAAATGTATATCAATCTTAGGGGAGGTTACGCTCTTACACCTAAATCTGCTCGGCTATGAAATCAGGCAATATAGGTCCACATAATCATAATCAGTTTACTGTTGGAGATCTACTGATAATTTTTTTAATCGTTATTACTGAGCTACCGTACTTCGATGGGTATATTTACTTCTATATTCACTGTTCTAATTCAAAATTATCTCAAATAACACAATGGTCCCAAGTATACTGATATTTGTGAATTATTTGCTTGAAACATTATAAAACAACCAGAATGATGTATATTATGAGAAAATTTATTAAAATTAGCATAAGTTTGTGATTAGTTTTTACCATTGCTAATCAACGTTTTTTTCTTCCCAATAAACTACTTTTAACATAATTATAATCGTGTATCACTTTCTAAATGTTTAACTCTTGTAATATATAATCATCATATTTAAGGCTTATTTTCCTAATAGAGTAATTGTTTTTTCATATTAAATCTATAGGAAATCTGCCATCCCTACAGTGGATGAAACAGCAGTGTTCTCTATCTCAATAATTTGGCTTTAGTCAAGTACAGTACCAGTATAGTAGTAGTATTGTTTTTTCAGAGGAGTGTTTACTGCGTGCCATATACAGGAAAAAAAAACTGTAGCCAATTCGAATTATAAACCTAAACTTTTAAAATATAATAATAATAATAAAACATGATTAGGAATTATACAGTATTTTGCATAAAACTGAACTTTGTTATTGGTCTCAAACATATATTTGAATTCAGATGATGAATGGAGATCTATCAAAACCTTCTGCAAATTTGTTGGAGCTTGTTCCACAATTCCACAACAATGTCAACTGGACATAAGAAATTATTAAATATATGCTTATAACTTTTTAAATATGAAAAACTTTCTTGAAATTCTCAGTAAATCAATAATTTCTTGTGCATATTTATAAAAATGTTTTTGTCACTTAAATTTATGTAATTTTGGACAATGAATTGTAGTTTTTGATTTTAAATGACTTTCATAAAGTTTGAATTTTGCTATGAATGCTTCTATATTTTGGAAACAGTCTATGATCAATTTATTTTCATCTTGAAGCTGCTTATTAAGTTCATTTAGTTTCATTGTGATATCAGTAAGGAAACATAAATCCAAAAGACACTGTCCATCATATAATTTAGGAACATTCTGGTCATTTTCATTCATAAAAATTCAAATTTCTTCTCTCAATTTCTAAAATTTTTTAAAGCATTTTCCACCACTTAATTAACAGAGATAGCTAAACAGAATAACTATTAAAAATGGCTATTAATTTGAAATTTAAATTTATATGTACGTGTAAATGTGTAATTCTAATTAATATTTTATTAGGCTTATTTCCAAAGAATTTAAAGAAAACAATAAAATTTCTTATCGTTTATTGGAAACACAAAAGACCGTTGTAACTTAAGAATATGTCTATTGTTTGACATTTATTACACATATAGGGTAAATTTAAGAAAAAATAATTTCATTATACCAAAACACCAATTTAAAAATATTTGTTGTTGTAATACTGATTAAATACATATGTATACAGTATGTACTGTACCTACATATATATGTAATACATTTGAAGCTTTGTTAAAAATATTTAATACTGTTTTCATTTCTAATTGTACGTGATAAGATGTTATACATCATATTAATGTATTTAACTATACATGTGATATTTCATATAATAAAAATCTATACAAGATAATTACTGTTTTANAAAAAAATAACTGTAGTAAGAAAAACAAATGAAAAATGCGAACTAATGTAACGTCGTATGGTGAGTTTTTGTTCGTATCGTGGAGCAAAAATATGTTCGAATTTCATGTCGTATCCTGAAAATTTCGTATGCTGGGGCGTTCGTAACCTGAGGTACCACTGTACAACAGAATGTAAACATATATTGCAAGAAAAATTTACTGCACATGCAAACAGATTATAATGCCAAAGAAACTGCTTGGTTTCAATTTTATTCAAAGTTCTTGACATATTTGAATATTAAACTTACATAAAATTAAATCAGAACTTCAATTAGTTTAAAAAATTTTTACTTTGTTTTTAAAGTATTACCTTCAGGAGTCAAAGATACATTTAATTTTGTTCAAAATTTAAGCAAGTCTATTTATAGAAAACAACAAAACACTTTATTTATAAGCAGTGATATTAAAAAATGATTTAAAAATTAAGAAAAATTTAAAATATCAAAAACAATGATGTATTCATATAGAAGAGAAAAAATTTGAAAATCATCAATTTTTCTTTCTGATCACAGGCAATAAAATTTAAAATAAAAAAAAAAAGTCAAGTCATATTTTTGATTTTATGATTCTTTGTAAGAATCATAAAAAAGATTTAGAAGAATTTATACAGAAATAAAACTATTTTATAATTATTTTTTTTACACAAAGTTTTCTTCTGGAATCTATGTAAAAAAATAAATAATTTTATTTCTTTAATGCAAACTTCAATTATTTCTAAATAAGATAGAACTTACTTCCGGTATTGGAAATATTTCCACATGTAGATTGAGTATTTGAGATATTTCCTCTTCCCACATTATTAACAACATTACCACTTTTGCTACGTTGTTTGCGTAACTTAGGTGGTTTATTTGAAATTATGGAATTTGGAGCAGAATTAGGATGTGGATACCGAGCTAATGGGCGCTGCTGCTGAAGAATTAATGGATTTAACTGATGTTGAAGAGGATGGCCCAATAAACACATATCTAAAAACAAAATATTAAGTTTTATTCATTATACAAAAAAATTAATTTTTTATCATTATACAAATTATAATCACTAATACAATTCTTTTCAGTCATTATTATTTCATCACTTAATATCTTTATCATAATGTTAAATTTGAAACAATAAAATCATAATCAAGGATTAAATTTGTAGATATTATTTATAACTTTTTAAATAAAAAACTAATAGTAAAATATTTGTGTAATAAATAAAGCTCTTTTCCTCTCAGAAGTAATTTAATAATATTTGAGTCACATTAACAATATACTAACAAAAATTGATGAAACTATTTAATTTAAAGAAACCAAAAAACTGATGAGTACTTTAAATAATAAAAGTGAAAATGTCTTCAGATAAACTTTTTCAATTTTAGTTTTTCTTTTCTCACTACTCATTTCCTTTTCCACAACACAAACTCATGCTAACTACTTGATTAAAAACAAACATTCAAATTAGTACTAATTACTTGGTATGTAAATGTAATTACTTAATTCAGTAATCCATTGAATGAACAATTAATTGCAACAAGATGCTTTCACTGACTGAATAAAAATAACTTTCATGTACAGACATGCAAATAACTCTACCTTTAAAAAATCGATAAGATGTTTGCAATTACAATGACAAATTGCGTGTGAAATAACTGTGTGTCTTATGAAAATGTTTGTAAATCAAATTTTTATGCATTATTATTATTTACTACTACTGTACTGTAATAAAAAGTACAAATTAATTATAAAAGTGTAATTATTTTGTATTTTCGTTTACATAAAAAAACCATAGCTAATTTGGGCTAGATAATCATGTCTACTGTATATGTAAAATATTTAGCTTAAATCATCACAAAAGTTTTTCAATAAAAATAAATAAATAAAAACACTGGCCCCAGGAATCAATGGTGTCATGAAATTTTTGAACAAGTGGATTAATCTTCTCTCACTTGCCCCATGTGCTCACATGAGGCAAGTGAGAGAAGTCCCTAGTCTAATCTATGAACATGTTAAAACTCAATTTTTTCTCTGACAGAAAACTTGTTTAATAATTTCATATAGTATAATTTAATTTGCCTTCCAAGTTATTTATCTACAGAATATTTGATTTAATATAATTAATATATATTATATAATATATATTTAATATATTAATATATGCTTTCAGATAAATGTTACATTTTCATAACTATGAGGTCTGTTCAAAAGATAACTAAACTTTTTGAATTGGACAAAAATGGAGTGTTCTAGTGTAGTAAAGTTGACAACACCATGTTTGTGATAACCTACCAAGTAAACTGCTTTTTTCAGATTGTTTGTATCTTGTTTTGTTCCTGCATTATTGTTTTTTGAGTGAAAAGTGTTTGTTTCAGTGTTTGTGGTGATTTTTGCAACATGCAATTTACAGGAGCAATGATACAACAAAGTTTTGTGTGAAACTGGGGAAAACTTTTATGAAAACATTTCAACTTTTGAATCAAGCTTATGGAGGCAATGCTCTAGATCACGGGTTCCCAACCTATGGGTCGCGACGGGTTTTCTGTGGGGTCGCCAACTTATGCAGTAAACTAAAAATTTTCACTATAATGCAATATTTATTTTTAATGGTGTCTTAAAGTTTGAATAATTTCATATATTTAAAAAAAATTAAAATAAGTGTAATCTGGGTACGCTATTCTGTCACAGTTAGTTGAATCATGTGTTGAGACTTGAGAGTTTTGAGAGTAATAAATTAAATGTTGAGAATGACATGAGGTTGGCGTTAACAAAATCTCACCCGCGAATTTTGAGGATGGTTAATAATACATGCAATTTCAACCATCTCATTAAATTAATTATTAAACATAATTTAAAATAAAATTATACNCAAAATAGACCCTTAAACAAGTGTTCGTAGTGGACATGATGTCACGGTGTCAACATTGTGAAAAATGTGTACGTCTGCACGGAGATTATGTTGAGAAGTGACAGAAGTTTCAATTTGTTTGTTTAAGTATTTTGTCAGAATAAAATTGGGAGACCTTAGAACTTGAATGCACCATGTATATAGTTATAATGTTACAATTTATAATGTTCAAATTAATACAGATATCCCTCGTACAACACATCACTTCAACACGGTTTTGCTCTAACATGGTTGGAAAATTGGAGATATCTCCATAAAACACAATTTCCAGTTTCACTCTAACACAGTTTGAGAATTTAGAAAATTATCCTTACAAAATTTCACAATTTTTAAGTGCAAATACCATTATTTGATATTTTTTTATTCAAGTAAGCATATGTGTTGTCTCACATTTGTTCATTACAAGATTGAAATTTTCAATTTGTTTTGTGTTTTTCATCAGGTTTACTTTAATGAAAACAAATAGTGCAATTTTTTCTTCCTTGTCCTAGCTTTCCTATCAACCAGGTATTGTTGACTTGCTTTCAGACATTAGTATTTAAGACCATCACCACATTTTGGTTTTATACATTAATCTTCGTATTTAGTAAAGTTTATTTAAACATTTTTAGGTAAATTTTTTTAACACAGGTCATTCATAAAAATTATAATCATTAAATATAATCATAAAATAGTAATCATTCATAAAAATGATAAACTAAACACAGCAGTATCTCAGTATTCAAACTGTTCCAGTTTGAGTACTGAGATACTGCCGGACAACTCTAACAATTGGGTGTTCAAACACAAATTCTGGAGAAAAATCACTCAGTAGTCAACTGAACAAACAAGGGCCCACTAGAACAAATTTTCAATTAATAACATATTTTTATTTTGTCAACCAAAAAAATTTTTTGATAAAACAAGAAAAATGAAGACATTGATGATATTTCTGATCAAAATCATCAAAAAAAGCTCAGAAGACAATGATACTTTGTAAAAAGAGAACACCTTCGTTTAACTAAAATTAATATTAACACATAATACAGTACTTTTTAATTGTGATTTTTAGTTAATTATTGATTGCTTTAATAAACATATTTCTCTTAGTAACAGAAAAGAATAGTATACTTTTGTTAACTTTTGGAATCTAACACTATATTTTGCATTAGTCCTTTGTTTCATATAGCACAGATTTCATAACATGGCACTTTTTCAAAACATAACTAACATGTTATACAAGGGATACCTGTATTTTATTTAAAAACTTTTATATTTTTAATTACTATAAAATGGCAAAAGACTTAATTTTGAGGGTAAGTGTGGGTTTTATAAAAAATTGTAAATGCATATAACGAGCAAAACTGTAAGTGCAATATAATCCCCTTTATCTCTCCAACTCCTTGACCTTTAACCACAGAACTTAATAGCATCAATACACAAACCTCCATGCAACATTTCAGAAATTTTCAACAAAAAGCATAGGAGTTATTACATTTCAAAGAGGAACACAAAATCATGCCCCCCCCACATGGGGCATGATTTTGTCCATCACACCATTCCTTTTGCACAAGCATCCATATACACAGAAAAACCCCTAAAATTTTTTTGCATTTCTTAATGTTTCAAGGTCCAAGTCCAAACATGTAAAATCTGGGGGATCATTTTTGACCGATTGCCATACTTTCTCTCTGTTATATATAACAGAACTAAGAAAGTAAAAAAATAAAAATAAAAAAACACCAACATAATGGCTGCAATAAGTACAATTACACATAAAAATCCAAAATACATTTTATTGCTTATCCGTGAAAATACTTAATATCAGAAAATAAGAATAAAGTTTTTCAAGCTATTTGTATCATGTTTGCTTACGAAAACTGATTTTAATAAATGAAATAAACTACAATGATTTCATAACTAATATATTTCATAAATGATATGAATAGATGTCTTAAAAATTGAGCTAATTTCATCAGATTTTGTTTTGAAAATTATCAACACCTTTTATTTTCTATAATTATAATATTCATTTTTACTTAAGTAAAAGTAGAAATTTTAGCATTTTATTTCCTACTAACAGATCATTTCTTGCTTATTAATCCTGTTATATCAATATGTCCTCTTATAGGTTTTACTAAAATTTCTTATAATTATTTCATCTGTTATGTTTACTTTAAAATTCTAACATATCTAAACTCATATTTTACATTTCATTTCAATCTCAATAAAATAGTTTTATAAATTAGTTAAATCATAGATGTAAAAAAAAGGTTGTTTATAGTAGATTTGAAAAATAGTAATTAATACATTTAAATTTTAAATCTGTCTGTTGAAAATGTTTATTTGATTCAGTTTTGACCAGCCAGAAGATACTGTAATTTGTCTATTATTTAGATTATGTATTATTATGATATTTATTTTCATTTAAAAAGAATATTTAATAACTATTTTTTCATAAAGTTTAACAATAAATCTATGATTTTTTTAAAATTTACATTTTAAAATATTTTTAAGTATATGGAAATAAAGTGTATTACTTAAAGTTGCAGATAATCAATTTAATAAATCAAAATTCAAACAAACAATTTTATAATATGGCTTTCTTGTAAAATTAAATAAATTTCATTTAAAAAAGATATTTTCACCTTGCATTAAAGATAAGCCTCTTCTGCATATAAGTCCAGTAGTTGGATTGCCAACATGTAGAGGAGCAGATCTACCTTTCTGATCTTGCCTATTACTTCCTGGAGGAAAAAATAATAGAAAATAAGTCTCAACAAATATCCAATTAATTTACAAATAATATACAGACTCAAAGTTTCAATGACTTAATATGTTAGTATTAGTATGAAATTTATTAGTCTATTTTCTAATTTATTTTTCTAAGTTTTGTTAAAAAACATTGTATTATATTAAGCTATTTAACAAATATTTTTACAAAGTTTATTTTCTATTTTACAAATTTTTTACTATTGTATAAAATAATATAACTTAAATTTTGCCAGAATAATTTGTTAATTTAAAATATAATCTATAAGTAATAATAATGCTTTCTAAATTTTTAATTTTATATTACACAGGTATACTAATTACCAATTTCATATATCTTGAAAAATTATATTACTGAGAATGTGTAATTGATACTATAATTAAGAGAGATTTAAACACAAAGTTTGATGCTGAGAAAAAAAAAAGCTCTAAGCAACCATATGATTCACAAAAGATAATGTAATTCAAATTTTATATCTAATGATGTTTCATTTTATGTATTGTAGTGTCAATTGATTTAACTATACTTTTCAATAAATGTAACAATACACTTTATTCAGTCAATAAATGATGTGAAAATTGAAACATTAAGTCCAGAATTCACTTAAATAATTATACATTTATTTAAACAGAAAATTAAAAAAATTTTCCTGTATAAAACAAATATAAGTACCACAAATTTACTTCAGTAAGATTAAATGTTTAAATTTATAGAGGAATCCTTTCTTTTAACAATAAAGTTTATTATTATTATTATTATTATGATGCAGACTTTAGAATCATTAATTAATATGTTTTGTCATTCAATTTCTTATACATTTATCATATATTATTCATGTTTATTGATAAATTAAAATACAGGGTTTCCAAAAAAATCTATATTATTATAAAATTTCCATTAGAAAAAAAAAGGAGTCTATTGAAATATGGTTTGTGATAAAAGAAAGATTAACTCAAAAAGATTTTTTTATTAAAAAAATTAATACTGCAACAGTAAATAAATTGCCTAGCCGCTATGAAATAATGCTTTATGAATGCAGTCATGTGGAATTTGCTTAGATATATTTAAGAATGTGTAATTATTTTTAAAATTTCTGTACATCAGTCTTTCATTTTAGAATATCAATAAACCCCAAAAAGCTATTTTAAAAAATAATCTTTGCAAGCTTAATCCCTTTCTTCAATATAAAAATGTAACTTTTTTCATTCCTATAATCTATTTTTCAAATCTGATTTCACTATTTACCATTATATTTATTAATAAAGTGTATTGAAATAATATTGATCAATGTTTATCTATTTGTGGTTTGCAAAACATATTGTTCCCTATAATTTTCTATATATAATTAGAATATTATAGGGAACAATATGTTTTGCAAACCACAAATATGATTGTGAAATCTGTGATTTTTACACCAATGTTGGAAAATCTTTGTAAACAACTCTGATGAAAAAAAAAAAACACTCTTGGTGAGAAGTATATCAGAGGTCACCAATTGTTTTCACACTTAGGTGGGAAAGTTGACACTTAGTTGATCGGAATGCACCATCAGTGTCAACAGAAGTCGATCATGTGACTCCTTTCCCATGAAGAACGTATAAAAGCTCGAGTCCTCTGAAACTCCAAACGACCAAAGGAAGTTATACTTATTATTGTGTGCATCTTGTCTCCATATATCGGACATTGCGGCCAAAGGCACATCGCCATACAACAGCCATTTGAACTTCCATGATTATCGCCATTCTACAGTTCCTGCGCCGACTACAATTCATACGGCCCATTCAACAAACACATATTCGTTATAGCCTTATAAAGGTATTTGTATTTTCAAGCATTGTGAACTCTCTCTCTCTCTCTCTCAGAATAGCCATTAAAACTGTTAGAGTGGCCCTTTTGTATAGTGAGCTTATTTAACTGCATTTAGCACATGTATTGTTATAGCCTCATGTCTCTTAGCTTTAATATAATAATAAACACTTGTTTATTTTGTTAAACCTGTCATCTATCATTGTACCTGCCGGCTTACCAAAGCACTCCCCACTCACTTTTTGCCCTCCTGGCCATCCTATGACCACATAATCAGGTTTTACCAAACTTGTGCAGCATAAGTGGTCAGAAGGGATTAACCTCTGACCCCCTGCTTATCTCACATGATTTTCTTTTGTTCCCCATAATCTTCTTATGATCATTAGAGGTTTTATTTACTAATTAATTAATATATACAGGGTGTATCAGAATGACGTTTTAAAAATTTGAGGGATTGTACAGGATAAAATTTTGAACATTTTGATATAAGGAATCCATAGCTGGAAATATGATATAAAGTTTCTACAGTGGTAGGAAGTGCTTGACCACCCTTCACTTTGGTAGCTATCCTTCCTTCCATTGATGTCATGTTATTGTTCTTGACTTCTTCCTCTGAAGTTATGTAAAGTCCCTTGTGTATGCAACACCTGTAGGAACAGTTCATGAGCTTACGGAGCGCATCTTTACAGTATTTAATACTGCCAGAGGGGAACGTGGCATCCCTTAGAGAGTCGGACAAAACATGGTTCATCATTGCACATTATGTAAGGAAGTTGGTGGTCGTCACATTGAACATTTACTCTAAAGTAGTGCAGCCACTGATTCAATGTACAGTTTGATTGTACTCTACTGTTTTGTTAATAAAACTTGTCATAAATACTGTATTCTGCTGTTTCATTTAGCATACTGACTGCGAAGTGCAAAGTGCTATAGAAACTTTATATCACATTTCTGGCTATGGGTTCCTTATATCAAAACATTCAAAATTTCATCCTCTACAATTCCCCAAATTTTTAAAACGTCATTCTGATACACGCTGTATTTGTAATAAATTTTTTGCATCCTTTTATCTTTATCACTAAAATTTACCATAAAAATTCTATTATTACCATATTAGAAATGAATTTCAAATGGAAATTCACACAAAACAAACTGATGTAAATACAAGAGAAATTCATTTTAAAGTTAAATGTTCTGCAATTTAATAATATATGTGAAATATCAAAATAATTATAATTACCTGCACCAATATTCATATCTCTGACATTCAATTCTGATGGCTTCATAATTGGAAATGACAATTGCCTTTTTGTACTTCCAGGAGGGGGAGGAGTTGGAAACTGAGGAGGTATTAAATTTTGAGGTGGTGCTGGAGGTGGTGGTGGTGGAGCTGGAGGTGCTGATGGGGGTGGTGTATTATTCCTGATGTTACTAACTATAGGGATACCTGGCCTTAAAACTTGAAAAGTAGATAAGAAACTAGGTGTAAACTGATTTGATGGAACTGGTGGCGAGTGAATATTATTATTAACATTAGGAGGAACAGGTAGATGCTGAGAATGAGCAGGTGTATAAAGAGCATAACTAAGGAAAGGAGAACCCAAAGAAATGTTATTAGTGTTTGATCCTGTTCCATTAGTAGGTTGTGCTGGAGGTGTCTGAACACGATATGAAGTATAAGGGGTAGCACTCATACCATTTCCTATATGAGGTGTTGTCATACTAACAGGTGAAGTTGTGCTAGTAGTAACTACATACATAGGTAGAGCTCCTGTAATAGGTAGAGCTGGTGTGTTTAATGCAACAGGGGAAACATAATTTGGTGGTTGGCTTGCTTGAGTAACAGTAGGACTAGCAAGTACCTGAGCTCCATTAGCAATATTTGTTAATATAGTATTATGGGGATAAAGTGGAATTGACATTCCTGAAGTTGTAGATGTTACAGAAGAAACCCCAGTTTGAGCAGCAGCTGTATAATTCAAATATGCAGGCATATTTGAAGAATCTCCATGAGAAAATCCAAGCATAGGATATGATGGTAAATATGGGGAACCTGTAAAAAAAAATAATAATTTACTAATAAAAGAAAAAATACATCTTTATTCATGTGGAAAGTGAAACGCCATCTGCCAGCGAGATGACGAGAGCGGGGTGAGACGCGACTTCGCGAGAGAAGATGACGGTTGAAAAAGAATGCGCGAAAAGACGGAAGATGAAAAAGAAGTCCTACATCTGTTTTTTTTTTTATAATAATCACAATATTTTTATGTAATTTGTATTCCTTAAAACGTTTCTGTTATCCAAACCTTTCTTATCTCAATTAAAGTTTTTCAGAGACAAAAAAAAAACGTCTCACATTCATATAAAGTTTTTAAACCATCCAAGGAATCATTTAACTGAATATAGGTATTTACAAAAACGAAAGATAATTCTACTTAATATTTAAAATATTCATAGATTAGGACAAATAGAAAGAAATCTCTAAAGAATTCATATATTGAGAATGTTTATTTTAGGAGTGATAAAACAGAGAATTCAACAGAATTCCAGAGGATGAATAAAAGCCTGTGTGGATAATAGGGTGAAGGAACCTGTTAAGTTGGGGTCTCTGTAACAAAATAAAAACTGTAACAAATTTTATTAAATCATATTTTGTCTACTACTACAACAGTAATGTTAAATTTAAAAAAAAAAAAATCTAAAATGATTTCTTAAAATCAACAATTACTTCCTGAACAGATTTAAAGTGATATACTTACGACTCCTCTAACAAACTTTTAGAAGTATCAAAAACATTGTTATCAATATTAAATTTAATAAAATATTCTCTGAAAATGTTTCATCATTATAAAACTTAAAATTCATTAGGATAATTCAGAATATTTTGTGGTCATCAGCCATAATGTAGTTTGTATATAATTCACAATTCCTTATTTCATTCCTATTTTTCTACTTTCTTTCTATTGTCTTCGAGAACTTTCCAAATCAACCGTTAATACTTGAGGGGAAGGATTACCCTTTCTCAGAACCAAGGGTGAACAAAGGAGTAAGGTATTAGTACATCCCCAGATTTGGGGAAATAGACGAAAGAAAATATAGCCCAAGGCGAGAAGAAAGGAGAGGGGGGAACACTTTTTGGCTGGACCTAGAAAGGAACGGACGTACAGAGTAGTGAGGGAGACTCAAAAAGAGAGAGGTAGGAAGAAGATGGCAGGTATAGAAAAGGACTGCCGAGATAAAAGAGGAGAAAGCATGAGGGACTAGAGAGAACCAAAAAAATTGGAGAACCTCAAGGACTAATTGCTGAATCAGTAAAGGAAAATAAAAGGCCACAATTGAGAAAGGGCACGTCCCCAAAGATATCGATCTATCAACGTGGACCCAGGTACTATCTATCTATTTATCTATACTTTCTATACTTTCCTAAGATTAATTGTTTCTTTATTATATTAGTTTTAAGTTAGACATAAGATTAGTTTTTAAGTTGGTTATCAAGGTTCTGTGTTATGTACGCGTGTATTATACATTTGTACAAAAATAGGAGGCGACCCAATTCCCTGTGTGGATAATAGGGTGAAGGAACCTGTTAAGTTGGGGTCTCTGTAACAAAATAAGAAAAAAAATCATGTTCGGAGAGCATTAAAGGAATATTCAATTATACATGTTTTTTTGTTCCTGTGTTCCTATTTGTAACATTTATTCGCAGACTTACAAATCTCTCGTTATGAACAACCACAATTTAATATATACAAATTTAATAAATTTTGTGTTAGTCATTAACTGTTTAACATAAAATTGGCCAAAATTGGCTTAATCCATTTAAGATGAAAACAGCTGATGGAAAAGTTGTTTGACTGGTTTTGCTATTCAAGTTACCCTTGTATCCTGAGAGGTAAAAACAATTTAGTTTCTGGTTCATAGAAATAAGAAATTTTCAGAGCTTAGAGTTAATAATAGAAAGATTTTTAAAAACTACACTTCATACTTAATGTGCAGTTTTATCATATAAGTAATGATCTTAATAGAAACAAATGTTTCAGAAAATGTGATTTATTAAATATATGTAAACATTTATTGGAGACATTGTGCAACTGAACAAAATTAAAACTATTTTCAGTATATTGTGGTAACTTAAAAATATAGAAGAAAATATATAGTAAATTATATTAAATTTTTGCAGACTATTGAAAATATGTAGTTCTATAATTTTGCTTAATCAAATAAGTGTTCATTATATTATCATTATCTTCATTAAACAAGAAACTAAATTCTATGAGCAATTATTTATCATGACATTGTCACAATGCCGAGCTCCAATTTTTAATCATATTTTTAAAATTTATTTAATTTAAAATATATGTTTTCTAACTCAAATTAGAAGTCTTGTCCCTGTACATCATACTTTTCCTATTAGCAATAGAGTCATGCCAGTCATCTAACTAACTCTTTTCAGGAGAAAATTTTGAATTGAAATAGCTTTACTTCCGGTTTGCATCAGAAGTTCATATATAGTTAATTGGAACTTCCTGCCCCTAATCATTTCATATCTGGTCGCTGCTTTCATCTATCTAGCTTTATTTTCAAGAATAAGAAAAGACAGACAGACACAGTGATAGATGAATTAGAATTTATAAATTTTTCAAACTGAAGCCCAATAAATTTACCAACTGGTCTGATAATGATATTTTCTAATTTACTAAAATAAAGAATTTACTAATAGTCAAATTATTTCACAAATTTATTCAAACATTAAACATGAAAAACGCTTATATGAAGTTCATATTAAAAGAGATGGCATTATTTTTTTATATTAATGAAGTTAACAGGGGCTGAAAAGTTTGAGAATCACCGATTTAAATTATACTATACAAATTAAATTAATAATTTGTAAAAGTTATTAAAAAAATAAAAAATTTCTTAGTTATAATTTGTTACCTGTAATTTGTTGAGTATGTTGAGTAGTAGGTTGAGACATATGAGTCTGAATATCACTTATTCCCTGATTTCCTATACCCAGGCCAATATTTTGAGTGGAAGATGATTGTTGGACAGGTGTTTGCACAATGGATGTTGTAGGATAAATATATCTTACAGGTGGAAGAGATGAGTTTTGTGGAACTTGAGGCACATAATAAACAGGCAACTGAGGAAAAAATTTTGTGTTTTAAATTTAAATATTAAAAAATTGAAAATTTTAAAATTTATTTTAAAAAACATGAACATGACAACAAACAATAAAATTTTCTGAATCTTTTGTATTTGTTGTTTTGCAACATATGACAAATTTTTCTCTCAGACAAGGTGGATTTTCCTCTTCCCTCAAGAACAAAAATAATTTCTACACTCCAAAAAACTGACTAGAAAAATATACATTGGATAATACAAAATTAATTATGTATGCCGAAAATAATTAGCATTGATTTAGCTCCATTCAAATTTCATCCCATTTTTGTCATTCAGAAGTTAAAAAAACATTTTTGCAATATAAACTTTCAAATTACNCATAAAGTTTAACAATAAATCTATGATTTTTTTAAAATTTACATTTTAAAATATTTTTAAGTATATGGAAATAAAGTGTATTACTTAAAGTTGCAGATAATCAATTTAATAAATCAAAATTCAAACAAACAATTTTATAATATGGCTTTCTTGTAAAATTAAATAAATTTCATTTAAAAAAGATATTTTCACCTTGCATTAAAGATAAGCCTCTTCTGCATATAAGTCCAGTAGTTGGATTGCCAACATGTAGAGGAGCAGATCTACCTTTCTGATCTTGCCTATTACTTCCTGGAGGAAAAAATAATAGAAAATAAGTCTCAACAAATATCCAATTAATTTACAAATAATATACAGACTCAAAGTTTCAATGACTTAATATGTTAGTATTAGTATGAAATTTATTAGTCTATTTTCTAATTTATTTTTCTAAGTTTTGTTAAAAAACATTGTATTATATTAAGCTATTTAACAAATATTTTTACAAAGTTTATTTTCTATTTTACAAATTTTTTACTATTGTATAAAATAATATAACTTAAATTTTGCCAGAATAATTTGTTAATTTAAAATATAATCTATAAGTAATAATAATGCTTTCTAAATTTTTAATTTTATATTACACAGGTATACTAATTACCAATTTCATATATCTTGAAAAATTATATTACTGAGAATGTGTAATTGATACTATAATTAAGAGAGATTTAAACACAAAGTTTGATGCTGAGAAAAAAAAAAGCTCTAAGCAACCATATGATTCACAAAAGATAATGTAATTCAAATTTTATATCTAATGATGTTTCATTTTATGTATTGTAGTGTCAATTGATTTAACTATACTTTTCAATAAATGTAACAATACACTTTATTCAGTCAATAAATGATGTGAAAATTGAAACATTAAGTCCAGAATTCACTTAAATAATTATACATTTATTTAAACAGAAAATTAAAAAAATTTTCCTGTATAAAACAAATATAAGTACCACAAATTTACTTCAGTAAGATTAAATGTTTAAATTTATAGAGGAATCCTTTCTTTTAACAATAAAGTTTATTATTATTATTATTATTATGATGCAGACTTTAGAATCATTAATTAATATGTTTTGTCATTCAATTTCTTATACATTTATCATATATTATTCATGTTTATTGATAAATTAAAATACAGGGTTTCCAAAAAAATCTATATTATTATAAAATTTCCATTAGAAAAAAAAAGGAGTCTATTGAAATATGGTTTGTGATAAAAGAAAGATTAACTCAAAAAGATTTTTTTATTAAAAAAATTAATACTGCAACAGTAAATAAATTGCCTAGCCGCTATGAAATAATGCTTTATGAATGCAGTCATGTGGAATTTGCTTAGATATATTTAAGAATGTGTAATTATTTTTAAAATTTCTGTACATCAGTCTTTCATTTTAGAATATCAATAAACCCCAAAAAGCTATTTTAAAAAATAATCTTTGCAAGCTTAATCCCTTTCTTCAATATAAAAATGTAACTTTTTTCATTCCTATAATCTATTTTTCAAATCTGATTTCACTATTTACCATTATATTTATTAATAAAGTGTATTGAAATAATATTGATCAATGTTTATCTATTTGTGGTTTGCAAAACATATTGTTCCCTATAATTTTCTATATATAATTAGAATATTATAGGGAACAATATGTTTTGCAAACCACAAATATGATTGTGAAATCTGTGATTTTTACACCAATGTTGGAAAATCTTTGTAAACAACTCTGATGAAAAAAAAAAAACACTCTTGGTGAGAAGTATATCAGAGGTCACCAATTGTTTTCACACTTAGGTGGGAAAGTTGACACTTAGTTGATCGGAATGCACCATCAGTGTCAACAGAAGTCGATCATGTGACTCCTTTCCCACGAAGAACGTATAAAAGCTCGAGTCCTCTGAAACTCCAAACGACCAAAGGAAGTTATACTTATTATTGTGTGCATCTTGTCTCCATACATCGGACATTGCGGCCAAAGGCACATCGCCATACAACAGCCATTTGAACTTCCATGATTATCGCCATTCTACAGTTCCTGTGCCGACTACAATTCATACGGCCCATTCAACAAACACATATTCGTTATAGCCTTATAAAGGTATTTGTATTTTCAAGCATTGTGAACTCTCTCTCTCTCTCTCTCAGAATAGCCATTAAAACTGTTAGAGTGGCCCTTTTGTATAGTGAGCTTATTTAACTGCATTTAGCACATGTATTGTTATAGCCTCATGTCTCTTAGCTTTAATATAATAATAAACACTTGTTTATTTTGTTAAACCTGTCATCTATCATTGTACCTGCCGGCTTACCAAAGCACTCCCCACTCACTTTTTGCCCTCCTGGCCATCCTATGACCACATAATCAGGTTTTACCAAACTTGTGCAGCATAAGTGGTCAGAAGGGATTAACCTCTGACCCCCTGCTTATCTCACATGATTTTCTTTTGTTCCCCATAATCTTCTTATGATCATTAGAGGTTTTATTTACTAATTAATTAATATATACAGGGTGTATCAGAATGACGTTTTAAAAATTTGAGGGATTGTACAGGATAAAATTTTGAACATTTTGATATAAGGAATCCATAGCTGGAAATATGATATAAAGTTTCTACAGTGGTAGGAAGTGCTTGACCACCCTTCACTTTGGTAGCTATCCTTCCTTCCATTGATGTCATGTTATTGTTCTTGACTTCTTCCTCTGAAGTTATGTAAAGTCCCTTGTGTATGCAACACCTGTAGGAACAGTTCATGAGCTTACGGAGCGCATCTTTACAGTATTTAATACTGCCAGAGGGGAACGTGGCATCCCTTAGAGAGTCGGACAAAACATGGTTCATCATTGCACATTATGTAAGGAAGTTGGTGGTCGTCACATTGAACATTTACTCTAAAGTAGTGCAGCCACTGATTCAATGTACAGTTTGATTGTACTCTACTGTTTTGTTAATAAAACTTGTCATAAATACTGTATTCTGCTGTTTCATTTAGCATACTGACTGCGAAGTGCAAAGTGCTATAGAAACTTTATATCACATTTCTGGCTATGGGTTCCTTATATCAAAACATTCAAAATTTCATCCTCTACAATTCCCCAAATTTTTAAAACGTCATTCTGATACACGCTGTATTTGTAATAAATTTTTTGCATCCTTTTATCTTTATCACTAAAATTTACCATAAAAATTCTATTATTACCATATTAGAAATGAATTTCAAATGGAAATTCATACAAAACAAACTGATGTAAATACAAGAGAAATTCATTTTAAAGTTAAATAGTCTGCAATTTAATAATATATGTGAAATATCAAAATAATTATAATTACCTGCACCAATATTCATATCTCTGACATTCAATTCTGATGGCTTCATAATTGGAAATGACAATTGCCTTTTTGTACTTCCAGGAGGGGGAGGAGTTGGAAACTGAGGAGGTATTAAATTTTGAGGTGGTGCTGGAGGTGGTGGTGGTGGAGCTGGAGGTGCTGATGGGGGTGGTGTATTATTCCTGATGTTACTAACTATAGGGATACCTGGCCTTAAAACTTGAAAAGTAGATAAGAAACTAGGTGTAAACTGATTTGATGGAACTGGTGGCGAGTGAATATTATTATTAACATTAGGAGGAACAGGTAGATGCTGAGAATGAGCAGGTGTATAAAGAGCATAACTAAGGAAAGGAGAACCCAAAGAAATGTTATTAGTGTTTGATCCTGTTCCATTAGTAGGTTGTGCTGGAGGTGTCTGAACACGATATGAAGTATAAGGGGTAGCACTCATACCATTTCCTATATGAGGTGTTGTCATACTAACAGGTGAAGTTGTGCTAGTAGTAACTACATACATAGGTAGAGCTCCTGTAATAGGTAGAGCTGGTGTGTTTAATGCAACAGGGGAAACATAATTTGGTGGTTGGCTTGCTTGAGTAACAGTAGGACTAGCAAGTACCTGAGCTCCATTAGCAATATTTGTTAATATAGTATTATGGGGATAAAGTGGAATTGACATTCCTGAAGTTGTAGATGTTACAGAAGAAACCCCAGTTTGAGCAGCAGCTGTATAATTCAAATATGCAGGCATATTTGAAGAATCTCCATGAGAAAATCCAAGCATAGGATATGATGGTAAATATGGGGAACCTGTAAAAAAAAATAATAATTTACTAATAAAAGAAAAAATACATCTTTATTCATGTGGAAAGTGAAACGCCATCTGCCAGCGAGATGACGAGAGCGGGGTGAGACGCGACTTCGCGAGAGAAGATGATGGTTGAAAAAGAATGCGCGAAAAGACGGAAGATGAAAAAGAAGTCCTACATCTGTTTTTTTTTTTATAATAATCACAATATTTTTATGTAATTTGTATTCCTTAAAACGTTTCTGTTATCCAAACCTTTCTTATCTCAATTAAAGTTTTTCAGAGACAAAAAAAAAACGTCTCACATTCATATAAAGTTTTTAAACCATCCAAGGAATCATTTAACTGAATATAGGTATTTACAAAAACGAAAGATAATTCTACTTAATATTTAAAATATTCATAGATTAGGACAAATAGAAAGAAATCTCTAAAGAATTCATATATTGAGAATGTTTATTTTAGGAGTGATAAAACAGAGAATTCAACAGAATTCCAGAGGATGAATAAAAGCCTGTGTGGATAATAGGGTGAAGGAACCTGTTAAGTTGGGGTCTCTGTAACAAAATAAAAACTGTAACAAATTTTATTAAATCATATTTTGTCTACTACTACAACAGTAATGTTAAATTTAAAAAAAAAAAAATCTAAAATGATTTCTTAAAATCAACAATTACTTCCTGAACAGATTTAAAGTGATATACTTACGACTCCTCTAACAAACTTTTAGAAGTATCAAAAACATTGTTATCAATATTAAATTTAATAAAATATTCTCTGAAAATGTTTCATCATTATAAAACTTAAAATTCATTAGGATAATTCAGAATATTTTGTGGTCATCAGCCATAATGTAGTTTGTATATAATTCACAATTCCTTATTTCATTCCTATTTTTCTACTTTCTTTCTATTGTCTTCGAGAACTTTCCAAATCAACCGTTAATACTTGAGGGGAAGGATTACCCTTTCTCAGAACCAAGGGTGAACAAAGGAGTAAGGTATTAGTACATCCCCAGATTTGGGGAAATAGACGAAAGAAAATATAGCCCAAGGCGAGAAGAAAGGAGAGGGGGGAACACTTTTTGGCTGGACCTAGAAAGGAACGGACGTACAGAGTAGTGAGGGAGACTCAAAAAGAGAGAGGTAGGAAGAAGATGGCAGGTATAGAAAAGGACTGCCGAGATAAAAGAGGAGAAAGCATGAGGGACTAGAGAGAACCAAAAAAATTGGAGAACCTCAAGGACTAATTGCTGAATCAGTAAAGGAAAATAAAAGGCCACAATTGAGAAAGGGCACGTCCCCAAAGATATCGATCTATCAACGTGGACCCAGGTACTATCTATCTATTTATCTATACTTTCTATACTTTCCTAAGATTAATTGTTTCTTTATTATATTAGTTTTAAGTTAGACATAAGATTAGTTTTTAAGTTGGTTATCAAGGTTCTGTGTTATGTGCGCGTGTATTATACATTTGTACAAAAATAGGAGGCGACCCAATTCCCTGTGTGGATAATAGGGTGAAGGAACCTGTTAAGTTGGGGTCTCTGTAACAAAATAAGAAAAAAAATCATGTTCGGAGAGCATTAAAGGAATATTCAATTATACATGTTTTTTTGTTCCTGTGTTCCTATTTGTAACATTTATTCGCAGACTTACAAATCTCTCGTTATGAACAACCACAATTTAATATATACAAATTTAATAAATTTTGTGTTAGTCATTAACTGTTTAACATAAAATTGGCCAAAATTGGCTTAATCCATTTAAGATGAAAACAGCTGATGGAAAAGTTGTTTGACTGGTTTTGCTATTCAAGTTACCCTTGTATCCTGAGAGGTAAAAACAATTTAGTTTCTGGTTCATAGAAATAAGAAATTTTCAGAGCTTAGAGTTAATAATAGAAAGATTTTTAAAAACTACACTTCATACTTAATGTGCAGTTTTATCATATAAGTAATGATCTTAATAGAAACAAATGTTTCAGAAAATGTGATTTATTAAATATATGTAAACATTTATTGGAGACATTGTGCAACTGAACAAAATTAAAACTATTTTCAGTATATTGTGGTAACTTAAAAATATAGAAGAAAATATATAGTAAATTATATTAAATTTTTGCAGACTATTGAAAATATGTAGTTCTATAATTTTGCTTAATCAAATAAGTGTTCATTATATTATCATTATCTTCATTAAACAAGAAACTAAATTCTATGAGCAATTATTTATCATGACATTGTCACAATGCCGAGCTCCAATTTTTAATCATATTTTTAAAATTTATTTAATTTAAAATATATGTTTTCTAACTCAAATTAGAAGTCTTGTCCCTGTACATCATACTTTTCCTATTAGCAATAGAGTCATGCCAGTCATCTAACTAACTCTTTTCAGGAGAAAATTTTGAATTGAAATAGCTTTACTTCCGGTTTGCATCAGAAGTTCATATATAGTTAATTGGAACTTCCTGCCCCTAATCATTTCATATCTGGTCGCTGCTTTCATCTATCTAGCTTTATTTTCAAGAATAAGAAAAGACAGACAGACACAGTGATAGATGAATTAGAATTTATAAATTTTTCAAACTGAAGCCCAATAAATTTACCAACTGGTCTGATAATGATATTTTCTAATTTACTAAAATAAAGAATTTACTAATAGTCAAATTATTTCACAAATTTATTCAAACATGAAAAACGCTTATATGAAGTTCATATTAAAAGAGATGGCATTATTTTTTTATATTAATGAAGTTAACAGGGGCTGAAAAGTTTGAGAATCACCGATTTAAATTATACTATACAAATTAAATTAATAATTTGTAAAAGTTATTAAAAAAATAAAAAATTTCTTAGTTATAATTTGTTACCTGTAATTTGTTGAGTATGTTGAGTAGTAGGTTGAGACATATGAGTCTGAATATCACTTATTCCCTGATTTCCTATACCCAGGCCAATATTTTGAGTGGAAGATGATTGTTGGACAGGTGTTTGCACAATGGATGTTGTAGGATAAATATATCTTACAGGTGGAAGAGATGAGTTTTGTGGAACTTGAGGCACATAATAAACAGGCAACTGAGGAAAAAATTTTGTGTTTTAAATTTAAATATTAAAAAATTGAAAATTTTAAAATTTATTTTAAAAAACATGAACATGACAACAAACAATAAAATTTTCTGAATCTTTTGTATTTGTTGTTTTGCAACATATGACAAATTTTTCTCTCAGACAAGGTGGATTTTCCTCTTCCCTCAAGAACAAAAATAATTTCTACACTCCAAAAAACTGACTAGAAAAATATACATTGGATAATACAAAATTAATTATGGTATGCTGAAAATAATTAGCATTGATTTAGCTCCATTCAAATTTCATCCCATTTTTGTCATTCAGAAGTTAAAAAAACATTTTTGCAATATAAACTTTCAAATTACATAATTAATTAAGTGTTAAATCTAACATGCACAATCAAAAATAAAAGTTCTATTTTAGAAAAAGTTATACAACTCCATAAAAACAAGAAATGGATATTTTTTTCAATAAGTGATTTTACTCTCTCAAGCCATAGCACAAACAAAAAATAGTTTAGTGTTACAAATGAACTACCATAAAATGGGGTAAATTTGGCCAAAATATTAAACAATAATAATAATTTTGTACAATTTCTGGAATATAAAATAATTGTAATGCAGCTGAATTTTTTGAATGTAGTTGAATTTTTTATACCAGTCAAGTTTGCATAAGTTGTCATAGGTATAACTAGACACTGTCGGTTAAGTAGTCAGCTTTCTGTGGTCCTAGCTGACATACATAGGCATTAATGTTAAAAATCTCCAGTTTACTCAGCACCATTTAACTTATCACCACTGGATAAATTGATGAACTTTTTCTGTCCCACACTTGTTTGGGTGTCTGATAAGTCGACTCCCCCCCTGAAATAAATGAGTTCACACCACAGAATCTGATTTTGCATTTTCTCACCTTTCATTCATGCTTTATTTGCAGCAAGTTTTTCACATTTCTGTTAGAAATGAGTATCTGAAATTTAACAATACTTATATGGAAGGAAAAATACAAACTTGTATCTGAATTTGAATGTAATAAAACTTCGCCAGCTGAATTTGCAAAACAAGAAGACCTTCCAATAACAACATTGGTGGGAATTCTGAAGAAAAAAAGAGGAAATTGAGAAACTTTTTCTTGGTTCTTTGGCATGGCTGTCTCGAAAACGCCAGAGAAAGTTGCCATACAAAGATGTTGAAGATGCTTTGGTATGTTGGCTAAAACAAATTCATTCATTGAATCTGCCTGTTTCAGGTCTGATACTGAAACAAAAAGCGATGGAAATTGCTGAGGTACTTGGATTAGAAATCAACTTTAGTGATGGATGGTCAGAAAGATATATTTCATGCACTGTATAAAGCACTATTGTATTTTCCTAATTGTAGTTGTGGTTTTTTTTTCCCAACTTTGTTTTAGTCATCATATCAGATAACTCAACACATTTCCACTTCCCCTTGGAGTGTTGACTTATGCAGACTCCAATGTATTTATTTCTGTAGTTACTTTTTATATTAAATCATAATGATCATAAAAATTAACCTCTGAAAAGTTGATTAAAAAAAAATGGTGAATGCATTTGAGTCTATATTTTTCTAAAATAATTATTAGAATAAATAAAATAAATATAATGCCTCTAGTTTCAATTTAAAAAATTTAAAAAGATAAAGCATAATTAGTTTTTATCAATTGCCATTATATTACGAAAGTTACTCTATAAAGTGATGTGGCCAACGTTGGCCATATTCATTTGCAATAAAAAAGTTGTAGATGGTGCCATTTTTCATCTTGTTAATCTGCAGCAAGAAGTAATCAACAGACCACAAAAAGGTTTGTTTTTGATTGTTTTCAATATTATATGAATAAATTATTATATTATGTTAAGACAATGTTGTCATATTTTTAGAATAATGCCAAGGTGTTTCATGCCTCCTAAAAGTGGGACAAGACGATACAGTATGCTGTTCATAGTAAACAATACAATACAAGCTGCAGTTGAAGCTGTCAAATCTGGTACAATGTCACAAAGAAAAACTAGTTTTTACTTCAACATTGCAAAGACAACTTTATAAAATAAAATTAATGAAAAATATTCTTTGAAAGAAGAGTCAGACAGTTTTGACCACAAAAGAGGAAAAAATCATTAGTTACCATCTTATTATGATATCAGAATTTGGATTTACCATTATAACAACTGAATTATGACATCATAAAGAATTATTTAGATCATAAAGGAGCAAAAATATATTGGCTTAGAAATAATTTTCCTGAATATGATTTTATAAAAGGATTTTTACAATGCAATAAGGAGCATGCTATACAAACATCTGCTAATACAACAGCAGACGGAGGTACAATTTCTATTGAAGCTGGAAAAGCTTTCTATTATCCCTGTAGAAGAGTTTTACAAGAATTTGACACACACATTGGATGGCATTGAATTAGATTGCATTATTAACATGGATGATCTAATAGGGTTCAAAATTTCTTGTTGGAAGTGGCCTTAGTAGGCCACTTCCAACAAGACATTTACTCCCATACAAGACCATTCTTTCCTACTTAAAGACTATTTCTGTACAATGTACCATTCTTTCCTACTTAAAGACTATTTGTGTACAATGTACCATTCTTTCCTACTTAAAGACTATTTGTGTACAATGTGAAAAAACTTATGATCAAATGTGAAATTATATTGATATAAATTATAATGATTTCCTGAATTCGAGTACCAAATTAATACTTTACGAACAACAAACTAGTTTAAGTTGAAATGCAGTAAAATTTTAAATAGAGAAAAAGTTTTTGATTCATTGTTTGATATGGTAGAAATCACACTCTCTTAGTTCTATTTACATTTGTCAGTAAAACTTTTGAAATAATTCCAATCTTGAACATCTTGTATAAGATATTTATAATCATGCTGAAAAAACTGGATAGGTGTAATCAAAAATAATTTTAAAAAATCTTTATATAGCCAATATATGAATCCTCAGGCTCAATTCTGATGATGAAACAATAAAAAGAATATTAGAGACAATAAAAAATGTTAGGTATAAATATATTTGTTGGGTTTTTAAAGATTTCTAAGTTATCTTTTTAATATTTATAATACTATAAATTTAAGTTTGATCAAACCTGGGTTACATTGCTTTGATGCCCACTAGACACTTGATTTTTTGCAGGAATCACATAACCTTGTGGCATTAAAGTAGATGCAGAGTTTTCCATTCCTCGAACAGATGCTGGAGGAACTATCTCTCTAGTTTGAGGCTGTCCAGTTGTTTGAGCTGGTATAAAACTGAGTACAGACAACTGAGTGATCAAATCCATATTAGAATTATTTCCTTCCTAAAAGAAAATAAGACATAATTGTATAATTCAATAATACTAAGAAAATTTAATTTTAATTGAAATAAAACCTAATTTTCTAATTTATTAAAAATTAATCTCATTAAATTTTTCAAACAGTTGAAATTTTATTTATAAAATGAGGAAAGCCTAAAATATAAAAAAATAATTCAAGATTTAATAGTAAAAACATTATTTGAGATGGTTTTAACAACTATTATATTTATTTTGTCTTTTAAACAAAGGATGTTTAAATTTTCACATTAAATGAGGAAACTACTATATTTTCATACTATGTACTCATTATTGTTATTTTTTTATATTTCCATGCATTATTCTAAAAAATGATATCTTTGAAAAAACAATACAAAGTTTTATGAATCTTTTATTTAAAGTACAGTGGGTGATCAGTTAACGAACTTTTCAGACAAATCGGGCAACGAACACTTTTGCGAAAGATTATGTTCAGACAAAGAACACTCACAGAACAAACACAAGAAGCAATGCTGCATTTAACATTTCTAAAACCATTTTAATGGCATCTATGAATGGAACGAGACTTTCACAGTTGTATACATAACCTTTTTGCACTAGTTAATTTCTATTCTCTGAAATTTTGTAAGTGCTTTTCTAAACTTTTTATTGAAGAAAACTGATAATATTATGGAGGCCTAAAAAAAGTGGAGTGTCAAGAACTGTGTTCACTATAAAAAACTAAACAATAGATAATAGCCAAGGTTGAATGGGGAAGATATCTGATATTGTAGGCAGATGACTTCAACTGGTCTACAGTAGGCACAATCTTAGCTAAGATAGATATAATCAAAAAGGCTCAAGCAGATAAAGGAGTAATGAAAATCACATCTGAGAAACAAAAATGTCCCATCCATGAAAAAAAAATGGAGAGATTGCTTTTAGTTTGTTATTACATGTAAATAAACATAGTAAGACAGTATATAATATTTTATTTATTTTTTAGGGTCTCCAGAATGAATTAATCAAATTACCTTAAAAATTTATGGTAAATCGATAATCGGTTAATGTAACGAACAATTCAGGTAGCGAACATAGTCTTGGAATGATTAGAAATTACCAACTGTATTTAACAATTCAGAACAGTCATATTATTGCAATCATTTTTTGTTACAAAAGAATCCAAAGTATTTTTTGCTTTGCCTGTCTCTACTTCACCCATAAAATTTACTTATAGAACATCTAAATTATCACAATCTCTTCTTACAGCATCATCTCACAAGAAATCTTCATCTTCTGAACTATTTTTTTGAAAAAATGAGCATATCATTTATTTATAGTCTATGCTGTTTCCCTGTTTCCGTTTGTTCCTTATTTTGAGGCAGTCATGCATGCCAACTTTCTGCTACTTAATTCTGGCTACCCAGCCTCACACGTAATACATATACATGAAGCCTTTTTACTTATAACTGAGAACAAATCTTTTTATTTTCAATTTAATGGTACCATATATAAACAGACACAAGGGGTACCAATGGGATCTCCACTATCACTGATCCTAGCAGAGCTAATCATGTGCAATATAGAACATTGTGTATTTAATGCTCCTCTGACCATCCAATACCCAACGTTATATTTATGTTCTGTTGATGACATATTAATCGTGTGGGAGGGTTCCACTGATAATTTAAAACAATTTATACAAATGTTAGCTTCAGTTTATTCATGTTAGAGGAAGAATCAAATGCCAGAATTTCATTCCTGCTGTCTAGCAAAACATTTGTAGAACAGGAAATGCAACTTATCAACAAAGTGATGATAAAAGCAGGCTACTCCCAATCAAAATTTTATTATCTTCGGAATCGTATCAAAAATAAATTATTTCCACAGTCTTATCTTACCAACAAAGAGGACCTAAAGATAGCACACCCCAATACCATTTTTGTCCTGTATCATTAAAAATTGTATGCCTTTTTTAAAAAAATGGCTACATTCTACTGCTATCTACACAGCCAACACTAAGAAGATTGCTATCTAACGACAGAGATGCTATTGAACTAAAAGAAAAATCGGGAGTTTATCTGGTACCATTAAAACATAATCGATCAGGAGAAGATACTTGTTATATAGGAGCTACTACTAGAACACTAACATCTCTCATCACAGAACATCAGGATGACATCCAAAATAACCGTCCATCAACGGAATTAGTGAGAAAAGTCCTTGATAAAGACTACTGACCAGTCTGGGACCAAACAAAACTATTGAAAGCATGCAATAATCAAAAAGAACTCTTTATTTAGGAGAACCCTTATATTTCGACACTAACACCATGTAATACCACAACTCTAGAAATTCCTAAAATATACACTACATTATTTAAGTGTCACAATCTATATTTCTAGAGCTACATGGTCGCGTAGCAACCACTGTTTGCAAATTTGTACATCATTCCATTCCAATTCTAAATGTTTTCGAATTTCATGAAAATTTCTATTTAAATTGGTGTTCCATCTAGCCGCACCATTTATTTCAAGAATAGAGAACTGTTGTATTCATTTTCAACTGAAGATAGTAACTGTACTGTACATTACCGAAAGTGCTTGTGAACTTTTTAATATTTTAACAATTCACCGTGATAACACCACAAAATGTAAGTGTAATTTATATTTACAAAGTCGGCATGAAGTGAGTACAGTATTATATTTTTTTCATTTTAGTATTTTAATAACTGTCACATTATTTGTAGTTCTTTCATGCTTGTTTTTGATACTGTGTCATAGATCTTAAATTTATGTTTTAAATTAAGTCAAAAATTAAAAATTACTATTTTAATTATCAGTAAATTTATATTATTTGCATAATTTTAAGCCTTTATACTGTTGTATTTATTCATTTACCCCTTTCTTTTGTTAATATTATACAAGATAATTCAATAAGAATTTTATGATTTTGAAAGCAGACAGTTTTAATTAGAGAATTTGCAGAATAAATCTAAAACAAAACACATCCAAGTTTGTCTCATATGGTGCCATAGTACCAACTTCTGTCACTGTGAGGCATGCATTTCAAAATGGTTGCTTTCATTAGTGCAAAGCATGGCTACTGTATGTTTCAGTCTGAACAAACAAAATTCATGACAATAGTTCAATGAAATTTCTGCAACCAATATTGTATGGATTCTCCATGTAGAATTCCAATTTACTCTTGACACTGAAATTTTGTTGAGGCTAGTTACCATGACAAATCTGGTTATGCATATATTTCTAATTTTATCATAAAATAAGTGAAAGACTTAGGAAAACAACACAACATGTATCATATAAAATGTGCATTTTATAACCAATCATTTGGAAAATTTTATGAAAACATTTGAACCTTAAAACCATATAAATTTGCAATGCTGTAAAAAATTACTAATGCAGATAAGATGACTTGTTAAGAATTTTGTGTAGAAGTATTGTATCAAATCGAACAACAGAAAACATTTCTGAACAACATTAATGTCAGTAACAAGTCAACATTTTTAAATGTTTTATCTCAGTGGTAAAGTGTAAATCCAGAACTGCAGAATTTGGGACTTCAAAAATCCACAAGCAATTGTGGAAAATGTTGTGGATGCGAAGTCCAAAAGTGACAGTGTGTTCTGTGTTCTTTTGCAAAAGTGTAAGGCCCTCTTTTTTTTTGTTAAGTGAACCATTACATTAACAATATTATGTATCTAGATATGCTGAAAAATTCTCTCATTTCACAGTTAAATAACAATATGAAGCATGAATATGCTTTCAGCAAAATAGCATACCACATTATACACATATCTGGTAATTCCTCCATAAATGTTTCCCAGTTTGTGGATTGATCAAAGCAGATTACTTTTTCTCCAGTTCAACATCTTTTGATTTTTTCTTCTGGGATTTCATTACATATCTAATGCTTATTTCATTCTTGCTTACAAATCTCATTAAGTTCAAAACTCAAATCACTATCATAATTACTGAAATGACAACAAATAGGCTGCTTTGAGTTTGAAAAGAAACTAAATTCAGGTGGAAAGTTTGCCATATCACAAATAACATTCATATTGAACCAAAATGACAGAGGTAAAACTTGATGTGTTTTGCAATAAATTAACATCATATTGAATTTTATTTAGAAAAATTGGTTATGATTTCATGGTTATAAAGTCCTTTAATCACCTTGTATTTTAATTTATAAGAAAAAATATTTCATTTCTTGATTGTAGAATATAAAATGAATATTTTGCCTGTAAACAGAAATAACAAGAATGGATACCAATGAATAATTGGTATCCACTCTTTAGTAGTGAAAAAACTTACAGTTAAAATAAACATTGTCAATTCTCTTAATGAATCATCAATAGGTTACAATTCTAAATTGAAAGCGAAGTATATTACAAATATTCAAATAAAAAATTTGATTATTTATAATTTGAAAAACTTACAAATTTTGTCAGATATTTTGAACATCTGACAAAATTTTAAATAAGTAAAAAATACATTAATAAATCAAAATTAACAATAAACTAAATAAAGTCTTGTGAGAACTCTTGTATGGCAAACTTTCACAATAATTGAAGAACTTTCATTCCCTGCACTTAGGGGAAAAAAACTGATAGGAAATTAGTTCAATGTTGGGAATTACAAGTTCTTTCCATCATCACCAAAAGTTGCCATACAGGAGTTTTCACAAGAAAATATTTAGTTTATTATAACTATTTCATTAATAAATGTATTTATTGGGCTGCAATTTGAGAAAATTATATAAATTACCACAGTTGTCTGATTGTCTGTACTTCTTTAATCTCAAGAATAGTGTTAGATAGATGGCAGTCAAGACCAGATATAGAAAGCTTAGGGGCGAGATATAGAAAGCTTAGGGGCAATTAACTATATGCGAACTTCTGCTTTGTCACGTTATTTCAATTCAAAGATTTTTCTCTTAAATGGAGTTACATACACAACAAGCATGATTTCATTGTTAACAGGAAAAATATGATGTACAGGGGA